GAGATGCATTGTTCGACGAAAGTTGATTTTCTTCGGTGGATAAACCACTTATTTCTGTACCTAGTTCGAGTAGTCGAGCAATCGATCAAGATAACGGACAAGGTGAACCTCGTAGAGGTAAACGTATAAGGAAAGAGAAGTCCTTTGGTCCGGACTTTCAGATGTACTTAGTGGAAGGTACAAACGAGTCGGTAGTGGCTCAACTTGCTTACGTATATAATATCGAGGAAGATCCTAGAACGTTCGATGAAGTGATGAAATCACGAGATGTCGCTTTCTGGAAAGAAGCGATAAATGATGAGATGGATTCCATCATGAGTAACAACACATGGGTCTTAGTAGATCCTCCTCCGGGTTGTAAACCTATTGGTTGCAAATGGATCTTCAAAAAGAAGATGAGAGTCGATGGAACTATTGATAAGTTCAAGGCTCGTCTAGTAGCTCAAGGCTTTAGACAAAAACAAGGTATCGATTTCTTTGATACGTATGCACCGGTAGCTAGAATAGCTACAATTAGATTGTTGATCGCTCTTGCAGCGATAAACAATCTGGAAATTCACCAAATGGATGTCAAGACGGCATTCTTAAACGGTGATCTTGAAGAGGAGGTGTATATGAAGCAACCAGAAGGTTTCGTCCTATCGGGTCAAGCACACAAAGTGTGTAAGTTAGTCAAATCATTGTACGGGTTGAAACAAGCACCCAAACAATGGCATCAAAAATTTGATGAGGTAGTATTGGCTAACGGGTTCCGTCTGAATCAATCGGACAAATGCGTATATAGCAAGTTTGACGAGAATGGTCATGGGGTTATCATTTGCTTATACGTGGATGACATGCTCATATTCGGTACGGAATTAGAGCAAGTCAAGAAAACAAAAGAGTTCTTGTCATCGAAATTTTCGATGAAAGATCTAGGAGAGGCGGATGTTATCCTTGGAATTAGGATAATAAGAGATCATGGTACGATTTCACTTTCTCAATCTCATTACATTGAGAAAGTTCTGAAACGTTTTGATCTCTACGATAGCACTCTTGTTTCTACACCGATGGACTGTAATGTTAAATTGGTAGCGAACAAAGGGGAACCGGTATCTCAACTTGAATATGCTAGTGTCCTTGGATGCTTAATGTATGCTATGACTAGCACTAGACCCGACATAGCATACGTGGTTGGTAAGTTGAGTAGGTACACTATTAACCCAAGCGTACATCATTGGCATGCTGTACGGAGAGTATTTCGATACTTGAAACAGACCATAAATTACGGTCTTCGCTACACGGGTCAACCTTCGGTGTTAGAAGGATACACGGATGCGAGTTGGGACTCAAGTAAGGAGGATTATGCCTCGGTGAGTGGTTGGCTTTATCTATTAGGTGGAGCTGCGATTTCTTGGGCTTCCAAGAAACAAACTTGCATTTCTGATTCGACGATGGCGTCGGAGTTTATTGCCTTAGCATTTGCGGAAAAATAAGCAGAATGGCTAAGGAATCTGGTATTCGAGATACCATTATGGCCTAAACCGGTATCGCCTGTCACAATACATTGTGATAGCGCAGCAACTTTGGCTAAGGCATATAGCCATGTGTATAACGGGAAGTCTAGACATATTGGTTTACGACATAGCTATGTGAATGGTCTAATAAAAGACGGGGCCATAGTGGTGGATTTTGTGCGTACAAAACAAAATTTGGCTGACGCTCTTACCAAGAGTTTGTCAAGGAACATGTTGCACAAAATGACAATAGGGATGGATCTTGAGCCTATTGATTAAATCACAGTTAGAGGAATCTCAACTCAACGTCTAATACAACGTTAGATCTTGAGTTCAATGAGTTAAATCCTCTAATGTGTGGTTGTAGATGCTTAAAAGTGAATCATCCCGAGGTAAGCATCTTGGTATGCAACGTAAAGAGGTTGTTTATACTTAATGAATTCTTTGACAAAGTGCTTAGTTGCAGAGCACGATTTGAAAGAATTCACCTATGCAAGCATGAAGTGTGGCCGCTTCAAGATGTTGGAGGCTCGACATCTATGTGCTTGTGAAGGGGATATGGACACATGGCCGATATAGTGTCAAGGAGTACAAGAAATTGTATTGATTCTGTGTGTGTGTATACGCGGTAGCTCAACTAGGATTACGTAGGTTCAATCGTTTTCGACACCTACGGAATTCGAGTTTATTGTGGTATATTACACTAAGTGAAAGTTCAATCGCAAAGACACTTTCATTTATGCGCAGAATTGTGGAGATGAATGATTATTTGCTTGATATGCCATTGTTTAATATACTCTAAAAATGGTGGAGGATTGTTGGTATTTTTAGAGTAAATGAATGAAAATTTAGAATCTCTCAAAAGGATTCATGTTTCACGTGTATTACAAGTATGGTGGAAGAGATAAATGCTTGTAAAAGACGTGGTATGAATTGGCTAAGTGTTAAGGATACGTCGAAAGAGTTTACGTTCGGTTTTGAACGTAAAGGAGTGCGTCGAAAATGAAGGCTCGGGTCTAAGTTGTGGGACAAGGACACAAAAGAAAAAAAAAGAGTGAACTCGTCAAATTTCAACGTCCTAGAAGCCCGGGATTGCATCATATGAAAAAAAAGGGGAAAGAAAGAAAAAAAAGAACACAAAACACGAATAAAAAGGAAAGATACGGAGCAAGAGAAAACATTGAAGTTATAGGCTAAGTGACTTTTAGGGTTCTCATTTGGGATGTGTTTAGGAGACATGCTTGACAAGTAGGAACTATTTCATCCTAGACCGCAGGAAGCAATAAAAATCCCATTGATAAGATTTCTCTCGAGTATTGGAAAAGATAGAGTATACAAAACCCGATTTCATTCGCAGCGACTTTAACCCGTACAACCAATCCACTCAAAACCCCCATTTGTTATCCGACTGTATCTCATCACCCCTTGGATAGTTTTATAATTGCACATTTACTCGAGGACGAGCAAACCTCAAGTCTGGGGGGATTTGATCACACGGGTTTTTCACCGGTTTTATAACGTCGTGCATCACAATTCTTCTCACATTCTAGGCATCATAGGACGTTAGATGGCCATGGGTAGGTTGTTTTGCTTGTTTTTCCTTGCAGGAAGACTCCACGATGAACCCTCACGAAGCGGGCACGGAAGAACAAGAATTCGAGAATGCTCGGGGAGCTCAGCCAAAACGAGCGACCCGCCCATTTTATAGGCGGTCGTCCGTTTAATGAGCGGTCGCCCATTTTATGGGCGGTCGCCCGCTTTGTGAGCGGTCGCTAATTTTATGAGCGGTCGCTCACTTTTTCGCGTATCAGAGGAAAATGAGCGACCCGCCCGAAAAATGGGCGACCGGAAGAAAAATGAGCGACCCGCCTGAAAAATGAGCGACCGCCTGAAATCAAAATCGGCCCAAAAAGGAAAAGCCCATGTTTTGAGGAGAAAACCTAATTCTGAACTTTCACAAAAAGGGGAGTTGGAGGAGAGAGAAAGGAGGCTACACACTTGGGAGAAAAATC